GGTAAATTGTAAATAGTTGAAGCTTTTTGGCCCTTCTCTATACTTGTATCATTTCCTATGACTGTAACAGATTGATAGTATCATGTCAACAAGGTTGGCAAATGAGAATGATGCTAGCAGACGATTGAAGTCAGAGTTTCTGATACAGTTTGATGGGGTGACCTCTAATCCTGATGATCTAGTAATTGTCATTGGTAAGTTTTTTTTTTTTATTTTTCTAAACATGATACAGACTGCTATTATTCTTTCATTTCATTCATGCCCAAAGGACAAGCTCATGGTAGAACTCTTCCTTTGGCACACCTCATCAAATTTATTCATTCTCTAACCTTCTCTTTTTTCTATAAAAATAACAATAAGCAAAGGATTCACCGAACTTGTCACATAAATTGACTTAAAATTTGCTCCATTTATTTAGGAAAAATCTTGTGCTTCATTTTATACCAACCTAATATGCTTGTGTCTTTATAGAAGCCAATTTTTATTGGATTGCTTGTGTATATGTCAATGCAGGTGCCACTAATAAGCCCCAGGAGTTGGATGATGCTGTTCTTAGACGATTGGTTAGTATGTCAATTGTAAATGCACGAATTAGCTTCAGTGTGATTTATTTAGATAACAGCTTGAACAATTATAATCAAAATATTATACAAGGAAAAAAGCAGTATTATATTGAATTTTTTTTAACATATGGGACTTCTTGTGAAATCCTGAACCAGGTGAAGAGAATTTACGTACCTCTTCCAGATGAGAATGTTAGGAGGCTTCTTCTAAAGCACAAACTCAAAGGCCAAGCATTCTCCTTGCCTGGTAAGAGATGCTTTCATTTCGTAATTTGTAGGGAACACATGCCTTTGTTGTTTTTCCTTTTTTATTGTTCTTATATGTGATCTCTCCATATAAATGTGCAGTGCTAGCACTTGCATAATAATTAACTTTCATTATCTGTGACAGGTAAAGACCTAGACAGGCTTGCAAAAGAGACTGAAGGTAACATAACTCTCCCTATTATACTTTGGTGTACTTCATCTTGGATAATATTAGTTTATCTGAATGCCTCATTTTAATTAGCAAATTTACTATAGCCAAGACAGAGTCCAGGATGCTTCTTCATATCATCTTTTTAGTTCGTTGTGAACCTTAATCAATAGTAAGTAAAAACATGTGTTTCCTTGAAACCGTAACATATCCTTTGACTGCTCTTGATGAAAAAGGATATTCTGGGAGTGATCTACAAGCCTTGTGTGAAGAAGCAGCCATGATGCCAATTAGAGAGCTTGGAGAAAGTGTTCTCAATGTCAAGGCAAATCAGGTAATCCATGCAAGGAAATAATAGTTTCTCATTTTGGCACTTGGTTAAAATCAAGTTCTTTACAAACCAAGTAAGAGCCTTCCTTTACTTTTAAAGCTAATAATTCCTTTTTGGGTGTAATTTTTTTTTATGTTGTTCATTATACCAGGTTCGACGAGTAAGATATGAAGACTTTCAGAAGGCAATGACCATCATTCGTCCCAGCTTAAACAAAAGCAAGTATGAAGAGCTTGAACAATGGAATCAGGAGTTCGGCTCTAACTGAATGTCTATTCATGCTCTAACCCATGATTTAACACAACTAATTGCATTGCTTTACAAGAGGAGTGGTAACAACAAAGCAAAGGCAGGTCCTAGCTCGACAACATTTGTATTTATATCATACCCCGGTTGAATTGTTGTTCTCATAATCTCCAGTGTGTGTATATAGTCTTCTACACTATGTAATTCTTTGACGTGTAAATAATATTGCAGTGTCTTTTCCTGCTGCAGAACTGTAACAAGAAAATATTTTCCAATTTTTTTTCCGACGTTTAATTAACTGAGGTTTGTTTTTTTCTCTTCTTTTTTCATGTTTTTTCTTTTTTTTTTGGGGATGTGTGGTAGACATCGAGATGGGTCGCTTCTCTTGGCAATAGGCGGCTGCCCCGGTGTTGGAAGAATTTTGATTGCGGTATTGTTATGGTTACGATATTAAAAGTTTATAAATTTACAATTATGATATATTAGTTATTTAATAAGTAAATATATATAATATTATAAATAAAATTTTAAATAAAAATAAATTATATAATAATATGTTATATTATAAGTTTATAATATCATACAATATTATAACATTATTATACTATTTTTCACCTTTGATTATGTAATGTGCACAAGATGAAGACCGAAAAAAGGCTAAGAACATAAGAAATGCACTTTCAAATGTTGGGTACTTAAGTCGGGGCCGTTGGGCTGGCCCGAAAACAGATTATGGGACTCAGTCTGTCCCAAGAGCCTGGCCCTTAATATGGCTGGCCAGGAGGCCCAGTATTGTGGGCGGGTAAAAGGAATTCAAATTCGAATGCGGTGTTCTCTTTTTCCGGCTTCGTTCCCATTTCATTTTCCCAATTGCACCGAGAAAATCATTTCTGCTTCACCTCAGACTAAAGCTATGAATTCTCAAACTGAGCAACGAGAACGTAGCTCAAAGAGGCAATGGTCCCTGCAGGATTTCGAGATCGGAAAACCCCTCGGCAGAGGCAAATTCGGGAGGGTCTATCTCGCCAGAGAAGTCAAGGTATTCTATTTCCTGTTTGGTTACTCAGAAAGCCCAATCCAATCTCCGTTTCGAAATTCATCGCTCAGTATTTCTAAAAATTAAAATTGACTTTATACTAACTGGAATCTGTTGATCCCCTCGGTTTTCTTGGCTGAGTTGCAATTTTCAATTTGAGATCCAAAATGTCGTTTCGATTTCTTTTCTCCATTTTCTCGGAAACCAAACAGAGAAAATTTAGAGAAAAGTAATGGTGAATATCGATCCTAAGCTCATGATTGCTTTCTCTGTGTTTTTCCCATTTTTGAGTTTTGAATTCGTGAAAGTTTACCTTTGTAGAGCAAATACGTGGTGGCGCTGAAGGTGATTTTCAAGGAACAGATTGAGAAATACAATATTTTTCATCAGTTGAGGAGAGAAATGGAGATTCAGACCAGTCTTCGACACCCTAATATACTGCGACTCTATGGGTGGTTTCATGATAATGAACGCATTTTCTTGATTCTCGAGTATGCTCACGGAGGTGAACTTTATAAAGAGCTCAGAAAGAATGGCTATCTCAGTGAGAAACAAGCTGCCACGGTAATACTTAGTGCTCCTTTTGGTCACTGCGAAAATTATTGGATTTTGAAATTTCATACCCCATGTCTTTTGGTTAAAGTTCTCTTAGGTTTTGAATTGAATTGCAGTACATTGCAAGCCTCACAAAAGCCTTGGCTTATTGTCATGAGAAACATGTAATTCATAGAGATATCAAGCCAGAAAATTTGCTGCTTGATCATGAGGTATGTTGCAGCCTCTGCCTCTTACCATTTTTGTTTTTCTTGAAAATGAGATTGATGGATTTTTATGTTCTGATCCCAATTTACTAACCCATATTTGACATATGAATTGATTTTGGAACGTGAATTTACTTCCACATTATTTATAGTGAATAGTAGTAGTATTTATTGTATTGAGATAAGTCTATAATACGGCTCAGAGGATATAATACCATTGTCTGTCTCCCTAAGCTAGATAATTGGACTTTGTACCCATTTTTTAAAACAGAAATTAGTATGAGTTTGGATGGCAATGTTGGATTTTCAACTCTTGAAGATGTGTTGCTTAGGTTCAGTGGTAAACCTGATTTTTGTTTTAAAAAAACAAGGAATTGGAAGTTTGGAACCACATTGTATAATGTCTCTTTAATAAATAGCTTCTTCTCAATGATCATGTTTGTTTTTTTGAAATACAATTGCGTTCAGAATGTTTTATAGATATTTGGTTAATCACTTTGTTGAAAAAACCATAGGGCCGATTAAAGATTGCAGACTTTGGATGGTCTGTACAGTCAAGTAGTAAAAGGCACACTATGTGTGGAACCCTAGACTATTTGGCACCAGAAATGGTGGAAAATAAAGCTCATGATTATGCAGTTGATAACTGGACTTTGGGGATCCTTTGCTATGAATTTCTCTATGGTGCCCCTCCATTTGAGGCTGAGAGTCAAAGTGACACATTCAGAAGGTAAGACCTCGAGTTTCCTTTTCATTTCAGATATTTCCTTTGATGCAGACTGATGAGATATTGTCCAAAGTGGATTTCATTTAAAATTGTGCCATGCAGGATAATGAAGGTTGATTTGAGCTTCCCTTCCACCCCAACTGTCTCTGCAGAGGCCAAAAATCTTATAACTCGGGTAAGTATACCATTCACAACTTCTCCATGTTGACAATAAATGAGAAAACTAAAAAGCAACTGTGGCAAGGAATGAACTCTGGTCTCTTGAACACTGCTCTAAATTTCATATGTAGCTCCTGGTGAAGGACTCCTCAAAAAGGCTTTCACTTGAGAAGATCATGGAGCACTCCTGGATAATTAGGAATGCAGATCCTTCAGGTACTGGCAAAAAGTAGCAGTGCTGAACCTGGGATGTAAACGTCATGTTATCAGATTGAGGAATGACCATTACTGTAACTTCATTTGTATCTATGTCATTCAAATTTGGAGAAAACAAGGGAAATTGGTTTCAGGGGATTCATATATCCAATCTCTAAGCGATGATAGAACTCTCCTCCAGTTTCCACAACCAGAAGGCTATGTTTTTCTTGGAAATCTATTATAATTAGTGATTTCCAAGTTCTAACCCTTGGTATTTATGTTTTCTTACATTTTTAAAGGCCTTTTAGGAAAAAAAAAATTTCTTAAATGTGTGTATTAGACTAACGTGATAACTGATAACCAACTACACTAGGACCCCGGATCCGATACAATTGATTTTGACCATGAGGCTCCTTAAAATAAAACAAGACCTAAATTACTAGCACGGCGGTTAACATCAACGACCCAACTCAGATCATTAGGTGATAACTAATTTCACTTCCACACCAACAAATCATTAAGGGCTTATTTTGTTAGAAGACTTTTTTTATTAAAGAAGTTTTTACTAATAAAAGTTGATAGAAAATTGCTATATGAAAAAGTAAAAAAGATTATAAAAAGTTATTAAATTTTATAATAAAATTTTATTAAAATTTTATTAAATTATTAACTTTATTATGTTCTATATAAATTTGATACAGAAAAAGTTAATATGAAGAGTTATTAAATGAATTTAATGTAAAAAAAAAAATTATAAAGAGACTTTTTTTTCTTTTAAAATATGTGAAAAAAAAAAACTGAATTGAAAATTATGTTTAAAAAAAATAAAAACTCCAAATGTTACTTTTATTTTTTTTATTATAATATTAATATGTAAAAATACATAAACAACCTTATAAGAAAAAGAACTTACAAAAGTTTTAAAAACCGTTCCTCTCAACCAAGTAGCCCCTTTAGATAAAAAGGTAACACAGAGAAGAACCTGTGGAAACATCACATAAGAGAAACATCGGTTACCTACTAGAAGGCCATATATCAGCCTTCCCCATCCAAACGAACCCAAAAAACAAAAAACATAAAAAAAGGGGGGAATCCTTTCTTGTTTCTCTTCATCGACAGTTATCAACAACCCAGCCTCTATATCCGTTACATGAAAAGATTTCACATGTTAAAAAAGCTCCTAAAATTGGTCATTGGATCCTGGCAAAGCACAACAGGATGGTACATTATGAATGTTATTTAGGTCTTCTCAAAAAGGTTCTATTTTCTTCAGGCAGTGATGGTGGTGTCACTGATTGTAGCGTCACTGCTTGTGCTGCTCATACTTTTCTCGGCATTTTTTGGGAGTTGAGGAGTTGAAATTGCAATTGACAAATTGGTGCTGGGTGCCAAACAGTCTTCTTTCTTGGGAGTGGTCAATCTGCTCGGTGGAGAATCATTAGCAGAAGAAGAGGGAGCTTCCATAGCCTTCTTGACACCTCTGTGCATGTGCCGTAAACAATATTTCTGATCAGGAACAACTTCTCTGCTGCACCGCCATTTCTTTCCATCTGTTCTTCTGCACCTCCCAGGTTCAAGTTCTACTTCATTTCTGTAAGTGAGGGAGCTAGTGCTTCCTCGGACTACGAACAGCAGCAGTAAGAAAACCCATTCTTGTTAGTACTATTGAAAGGATCAACCAGGCATAGTTGATGAAGTACCACAACACTAATTACTTAAAACTGCTGGTATAGTGGTATTGATACTAAGCAAGCTAGCAATGAAGAAAACACTAGAAGTACTTTCAGCTTGAGAAAATGCTACCTTGTAGAACACTTGTTGGGGAAATGCCCGATCCTAGACATATCCATTGGCCAGTAGAGATGTTGTTGCCTGTTTTGCTGCTTCTTTTGACAATGTTACTGTCTCTAAAACAGACCTTCTCTTCCCCTCTGGCATTATTGTTAGGGCGTTTTTTGTTCTCATTCAAGTTTGCAGTGTTGGTGGTGGTGACATTTGTATTGGTTATGACTCGAGTTGTAGCCATTGTAGAAATGGAGTTTACATGGCCAACTATGCTTTTGCCTCCAGTAGCAGTGGTGGAAGCAGCTCCATAACTAGTACTGGGAATACCAGGAGTGGGAATCATCAGTTGCAAGTTCACAGGGTTGGAAACAGGGGTTTTCTTGTTCTCCGGATCCTTCTTTGAATCACTGGGTGAAGTTGCCTCAGGCTTTTCAATTTGAGAAGGTTCCACAGGCTTTCTTGAACGCTGGCGGCCCCTATGCATGTGCCGCTCGCAATACTTCTGATCAGTAACCACACTCCTACTACACCTCCATTTCTTCCCATCAGTTCTCCGACACCTCCCTGGTTCTGGTTCTATCATGTTCCCATCATCAACCCCCTGAGAACTGAATGCCACAACTGAAAAAAACAATAAATGAATAAATAAAAACACAAAGTCACAATTATAATACACATCAAGGAAAAAACAAGACCATTTCAATACATAGAGACCTCAAAAGGAAACAACTTTTTTCACAAAGTAAATTTACATTATTGAAATGATCTACATCAATTAATAGAAAACTAAAAATTGATCACAAGATTTCAGCTAAGATCATCCCTTTGGAAAGGAATTACTATAAACAAACATGGAAGAAAGGGCAGGAAAACCTCGAAGCAACAATATCATTGGCAGCGGCAGTGTGGCACACAGAAATACAGCAAAACTCATCAACAACAACCACAAACCCATTTCAAGTTCCTACAGATGCCCAAACAAAGAAGCGTAATAAAATTAGAAATTAAAGGGGGGAAAAAAAAAACTTACAGTTTGAGAATTGCCTATACATACGACCATCACCGTCGACAAAAGGACCAGAAACGCTTTTCCAAATGGGAAAGACGAGCTGCGGCGGAACAGGGATGCCCGCCGCCATGAACCTGTAGATTAAAGCCTGATGCTGCAACTCATGCAGCTGAGCTGGTGTAAAAACATGCTTCTTATGCTTGATCACGTGATTTTGCCCCGGATTAGCACCAATCCCCAGACCCAGATTAATCGACGGCGACTTTTCCCCCACCATCTTCCCTTCCCAGCCCTTCTCCGTCGACCTCCCCTTTGACCCACCATCTTCCCCTTCTAAACAAAAACGAAATTAACCATAAATTTTCAGACCCTAAGACACCCCCCCCCCCAAAAAAAAAAAAAAAAAAAACTTAAACAAGGTGGGAAAGTTTCATATGGAAAGACAATACCAGAGTCTGAAGAAGAGAGACTAATTGGAAGCGGTCCGTCCTCCATTAAAGACATCACATATGAGCTTCAAGAAAGAAAACCAAACTGAAACAGAAAGCTTCCTGAGCTTAATGTTATCTTTATCTTTGTCTGAAAAACAAATTGTTGCAGAAATTTTGTGTTCATTCAAAGTAAGAAACTAAAATAATAGGAATAATAACAATAATAATGAATATACAGAGTAATTCAGAGAAGTTTTGAAATTTAAAAAATGAAGGAAATGCAGAGAGACATCTTTAAACATTGTGTGTGTCTGTCTAGAGAGAAGGGGCTTTATTAGTGTGACAGAAAGTGAAGGTTAAAGCGCGTGTCAGAATTCTGACAATGTCAGCCTTTTCGCAGTCACCGCCAGGAGGAAATTCAGTTTCTTTGACATGGAAGCATGGAGGAGACCCACTCGGAGGGGGTGGCGCGTGTCCTGTAATGTCCTGTAGTCTGTTAAGATAGGTTAAACCCCTTTTTGGTCCGGACCCAGATTAACTCCCTCAACTTAAAAATTTCCTGATTTGATCTTTACTGTTTACCATTTTTACCTGATTTGGTCTCTCCGTTAAAAATCTCATGACGTGTACCATTAATTTACAATAAAATGATGACATGTCAAAATAGTATCCTACGTGGAAGACAATATGATAAAAAATAGTGACATGAAAAAAAATTATAATATAACAAAAAAAAATTAAAAAATTCTTTATTTTTCTTTTTTTCTCCTCCTTCCTTTTTCTTTCCCCTTAGGATTTGGAACCTAGAGTTGGGTTTGATCGAACCCAATGCTTGGGTTCCTTGGAACCCGACGCTAGGTTCATCGAACCCAAGCTGGGGGTTCCTTGGAACCCAGGCTCTGGGTTTCTACGAACTTGACCCTAGGTTCGGACAAACCCAAGCCCTGGGTTCCTTGGAACCCAATGAACCCAACGCCGAGTTCGTCGAACCCAGGTGCTGGGTTCTTCGGCAAAAAATAAAAAAAAAAATGTGTTTTTGTGGGTGTTGTTTGATGAGGGTGTTGTTTGATGATGATGATAAAGAATTGATTGATGAAGAAAGTGAGGAAAGAGAAAGGGAAAGATGAAGGAGAAAGAATTTTTAAAATTTTTATTACCAAATCATTATTTTTTTTGCTAGTTGGCTTTCCATGTGGACATAATGTTTTGACATGTACATCAAGTTTCTGTTAGTTAATGGACATGTGGGTAGATTTTTAATGAAAGGATCAAATTGGGTAAAAATGGTAAACAAAAAGGATCAAATTAGAGATTTTTTGAGTTGAAAGACTTAATAAAGGTCCATACAATAGTTGAAGGACCAAAAAGGAGTTTAACTGTTAAAATATGATTAAGAAAATTACAAATTAGTTACTTGTGATTTGAAACCAGTACAGATAAAAGTTTAAAGTTTTAAAATGTGTATATAATATATATTTAATTTTAGATATATGTAAATAAAAATTTAAAATATCAAAATATGTATATAAATACTTGAGACACATTTAATATAAATAATTACTTAAAATATCTTTAAAATCCCAAATTTAAAAGAATAAAAAGAAAAGCATAATAAGAAAACTTAAGATAATTTCATGTAACTTCTATTGGTTATGTTTACATAATACAAATCTTAAGTCAACCTTTGTACATTTTAAAATTTTAAAATTTTATGTGTACTCACCTCAAATCATAAATATATTATATGTATATTTTAAAATCTCACAAAAGGAGTAATTACAACTCACAAGTGAACCGAAAGAGTGCTACAATATGTTTCCTAAGCTTAAAGAATTAAAATCAAGATTTATATAATTATTAAATTAAATTTTTAATTATAATATAATATGAAAAATGTGATTTATCATACAACATTCAACTGTTAGGGGCGAATGTCTCATCAACGGGATCGAACGGAATACAGCGTTACTGGGTGACAGTGGGGGATTGGCTCACGCGCCATGTGGAGGAAAAATAGGGGCAGAGGATGACACGTTATGGTGTTGCCCTTCGTTATCTACCAATGCATGGGCTGGGCCCATTTGCTTGACAGGTGGACTCTGGCAATGTCAAGTAGTGTCCTGCTTTTATTTTTTT